TTTCGATAAAATATAATGATCAAAATACCCCTTGAAACTTTCAAAGGTATTTTGGATATTTTATTTTATTTTATTGAAAGTATTTTTTTTATATTTTCACTAGTGCGAGGTTCATAGAGGAATGGACCTCCAAATTTTGGTATCAAAATATATTTTCTTCTTTAATTATAAAATTTAAAGCTTAAAAAATAGTCTTGATCAAGCAGATCTATGAAAATCTTGAAAATTGATGGTTCAAAAATGCGTTACAACATGCATTATTTCCAAATCTTTTTTTTTTTTTTTTGTACAAAGCACTATTTCCAAAACTTGAAATCCATTTTTTTCTCATATCCATGCATCTTGATGTCAAGGTGATCAATTTGAGGATATTGGGGCAGCAAAACAACCTCTTCTAGTGAAATTTTTTAGGTAGGCTCTAATTTAATTGTTTAGAACCTTGGCACTATATAACTTTTTTTATTAAATATTATTTTAAATTATAAAATTCTTCTCTTTATTTAGTTCCAAGAAAAAAGCACCATATTTGGTTCTAACCACTTAGCCCCAACCCCTCTCTCTCTTGCTCTCTCTCCACGGCTTGACCTCTATTTTTGTGCTCTTTTCTTTCACAATTTGGGGTGCAGTTTGCATACGGATGCATCCGTAGGTGTAAAGGTAAGGTACACCTTTAAATTTTATCATGGTATATAATTTTGATGTAAAACCTTATTAGGATTATTTCAAAATCTATTTTTATATCTAATTATAAATTTTAAAATTTCAAAAATAGTTAAAATCAAGTAGATCTATAAATATATGAAAATCTTCAAAATGGACGGTGTAGATAACATGTTGTAAAATGAATTATTTCTGAGACTTAAAATCTTGTTATTTTTCATAGTCATACATCTCGATGTTGAGAAGATCAATCAAAGGGTTTTTCAACATTACAACTAGCTTTTCCGATGGATTTTTGCCATCTGTAGTTCTACATTATAAGGTAGCATCCTTAGATAAACTTTTTCCCACTATTTGATTCTGTCGACACGTTTCCACCTCTGTTTTTGTGTTCTTTCCTCGCACAATTCGATTCTATTTTTAAAACCTGCGATTTGGATTAGGAATCATAAATGGGATAGAATTTAATAAAAGAAAAGGTTTATATAAGGTTGGAAGAATTAATGTGCATCTCAAAAATTCATGGGAAAATGCTATTTTAATGTAGGAAAACTCTCTAATGGATCATCTCAACATCTAGATATAAGAATATGGAAAATAACAGATTTCGAGTCTTAAAAATATTGCATCTTGCAACACTTATTTGGATCGTCTATTTTCAAGATTTTCATGTGTTTATAGATCTACTTGATTTGAACAATTTTTTGAGTTCAAAATTTTATCATTAGAGATGAAAATAGATTCTTAGGCCATCCTAATAATTTTTAATACCAAAATTATATCTTATCATAAAATTTAAAGGCACAAATTATTTTGATTGTTTAGGTTGCAACCTTATGCAAACTACCCCTTTAGTAAATTGAGAATTCAAACAATACTCTTAACCGCAAAAAAAATAAAATAAAAAATAAAAAAAAAATATCGACAAGAGACTCGCAACTTATTAAAGTAGGCCAATGAAATTATCCAGACGAATTTTGTTTCATTAAAGTAAATTATAACAACTTTACTATTTGTACTCTGGAGTTGATACAGACTAGCCAATAGCTGTAGGACTCTAAAGACGAGACCCCAACTATAACATAATCTTCTATTTTTGTATTATAATTTTTATTTTCATTATTTACAGTCATTGATTCTATAATGAAATAATTGGATCTTTCAATTATTATCAAAGACTTTCCTATTTATAACAAAAAGAAATCTAAGATTTTTTTTTTTTCCTATTTTAATTTAATTAAGAGCTAATGTAAAATAGAGAAATGTATGTTAATATCTTTCATGATTAGTGGTGATTAAAAATGTCTAAGTGTTCATCGATCTACAAGATTTGTACCATTTTTTAAGCCATAAATTTTATAATTGATGATGGAAATAGATTTTAGAACCATCATAAAAATTTCCTATGCCAAAAGTATTTTTCACCTTAGGTATTGAGGTGAGGCGTTAGTTTTTTTTTTACAAGGCCTAAACCTTATAAAAGCCGCACACTTGTTTAAAACAGGGCATGCAGGAAGACAAATTAATGGTGGTGGCATTTTCTTTCGTAAAAGTGCTTTTTGCGTTAGGAGATACATGTCTACATTTGCTTCCCTATGCATAAAGCATCCATCTTAAAGAGGGAAGTTTGGTAATCGTGGTTTTACGATTACTAAAAATATAGGGACTTAAAAATACATCAAAAATATTTATTTATTTTTAAATTGGTTTCACCATAACTTAAAGGAAAATGGTTCGATAGGGATATAGCCTTATTAAAATAAGTAAAGCCTCACCTTATTAACTCCTTGAAAATTGTAATTCAAGCATTGAAAAACCTTTACATCGATCATCTTGGATTGAACGTTATGGTTATAAAAAAAACCTAAGATTTCAAGCTCTAAAAATAGTGTATATTGTAACAAATTATCTAGACCGTCCATTTTACCCTAAATTTTCATTTTGTAAATATCAAATTTTATTGTCAGTGTTGAAAATTGATTTAGAGTTATTATGGAGATTTCCGTTGCTGAAAGTGCTTTCCCAACATGAATTTGAGGTGACGCTTTATTTTGTTTTCTCAAAGCGTAGGCCTTATAAAAACTTCATTCTAACTTAAAATTGGAGTTATTTAAAATACATAGAAAATATTATTTTTATTTTTAATAATTATATATTTTTTCTATATATATATTCACCATGGTGGACATACTCCTCTAAATTTTTAGATTCGAAAATGCATCTTCTTTTTTCTTTCTTTTTTTCTTTTTTTTTTTAAATGGTAACGTACTAAAAATAAATAAAAATTTGTTCATCTCTAAGATAGGTGTTGTAGAGTCGGGGAACTCATAAAAATATTGTGCTCTCTTTTTCAAACAATAGTCCAACAGCTTCATGGCTGACATCCCACACTTTTGAAAGTGGAAGGATTTGCTGCTCCCTCGGGATGGTTAGAGGAACTTTTAGGACCCAAATGGATAGAATGCTCCTACCGAGGAACACCATTTCCATGTTGCTCCATCAGTTACAATCATACCTAGGAGCATAGGACTATCTTTAGGATTCTAAATGACACTAGGGCAAAAACATTTTTAACTTTTTTAGCATACATAGCATGCTCCCGCTTGAGCGTATATACATTAACCCCTTGAACCTCGAGATGGACCTTAGAAAAGGAAAATTTTCAAATGGCATGCTCTATGTGCTTGAAAATTATAAAGTCCCAACATCGAAAGGCATTGGCTAAATTTTGAAGGGAAAGATTTCAATGTTGAAGAATTTAAAATCTATTTTTTGAAAAATAATTATTTAATAATTTTTAGATGGATCCCAAAATTTCACATTAAAAAATCCTTCCAAGTATTTATTTTGCCTGAGGGAGTTAATGTACAATGTGCTCTCATAGGAGTATACTATATGTGTTAGTCTAAAAATAGTAATGAAAATACAGTTAAAAGTTCTAATTAATTTTAAAATTTTAAAATTAAGAAATGGTCCATTTTTCATATTTTATGCAAAATTCTCTTTATTTGGGAAATTTTTTTCTGCATGCCTCAAATTTGATACTTCAAGTGTCGGACCCAACCAAAAAAATAATTTCCCTACTGAAGGGTCAACCCTCTTAGCATAGAATATTTCCTAAGTATCTATTTCCAAAGTATCAAAAGGGCTTCGGCCATTCAAGGACCAAAACTTTTACATAAGCCCCGATACTTGGAGATTAGAACTACAAAAAAACAATTGGGCAATGATTTCATGCAACCCTTGTAATATGATGCAACAACCTCAAAAAACTATCTTATGGCTATTTGTTTGATCCAACTTTTAAAATATACACTCTTTTCATTCTAATGAACAATCACAAAAAAAGAAAAAATTGAAAACACAATTTAGAAAGTATTTTTTTAGTTCAATTAACATTGGCTTTTCATTTTGGTGAGATGCTTAGATCTAGGCCTTAGAAGGATTTTTTCAGTTCCAATTTTTTTGGATGGCTTTATTATCATTAGATGAACAATGTTAAAAAATAAAAAAAATGATTTTGAGTTTATAAAGACTATGATCTTAAATTTACAAAATGAATGGTCTAGATTTGTTTTTAGAGGGGACTCATTTTGACCATATCTAGGGTTCAAATTGATTTTTTTTTTTTTTGGATATTGATTATTGGGATGAAGAGAGTGTGCGTGCAAAATTTGGAGTCAGACAAATACCACAAACATAGTTTTCTAGAAGTGTCGTTGTATTATACTATGATACAACCGTTGCATCAGATCATTGCTCAAAACAATTTATTGCAGTTCGGTTGAAAACTTGAAGACTCATAGTAAGGGTACTTTGGGGGGGCAAGCTTTCTATGTTTCCCCCGCACCATAAAATTTGTATACTTTTCTTTATCTAACCGTCCATTCTGAATGGAGGGCTATGATTGCCCCGATCATAATGTCACATCTCTACACTATTTTATTTTTAATTTTCTTCTATAAACTATTTTGACACCGACGCCCAATCTTCTATTAGACTCGCACTAGCAAAAAATATAAAACAAATATTTTCAATAAAATAAAATAACCAAAATACCCCTAAAAATTTTAAAGGGTATTTTAGTCATTATATTTTATCAAAAAATTATTTTTAATATTTTTTATAGGTGCCTTATGGGCAGATGACACGTACCCAATTTCATATTCATGTAATTTGTATAAAAAAACTAAAAATAAAATACTTTGAGACGTCGGGTCTAAGATAAAAAAATGAGTGGCTCTCTTGATCAAAATTTGATGGTGGGATAGTAGGAGAATCATAAATCTTTTATGACAAAGTTTTATGCTACCTAATACAACCTTTCTCCTTTACTCGAGCTTGGGACTGGCTTGACCTACTGGTCGCGCCGGTCAAAGTAGAGTTAGACCAAGGCGAAAACATGAAAAATTCAGGATTATTTTCATTTTTTAAAAATTTTTGAAGGAAAAGAAAAAGAAAACAAATGAAATATCGTTCGCTTTTGTCATGAACTCACGGTTCTAGGATATCTTGATCCTAAAGCTCCTACATAAATTACATATGGCGATTGTATCCAACCCGTTAAATTGGAGCACAAATGAGCGCCTCTTTCTTCGCCTGCAACCCCGTCACTCCTCCCTTTTCCGCCTTCTGAAGCAACAGCGCTTTTGCTTTGCCTACTTGTGAGTACTTTCTCTCTCTAAACTTTCTTTCACTAAAAGTTCTCTACCTTTTCTAAACTTCTTCAAAATCTTTTGTACTTTCTCCCACTAAAAGTTTCTCTGTTTCTAAATGTAAGTTCTTGACTGCTGCGTAACCGGTTTCTTTCGTTGAGTCAAGGTACACTCTCCCTCTAGGAATGATTGTTAATGATCTATTGACTTTATTCTTCAGTTCATGCAGTTCTATACTTTCTCTCACTGAAAGGTTTTAAAATCAGTGAATGCTTAGTCCAACAATTTTGCAGGTCTTCGTTTATTGTAATTTTTTACTTTGTCTTCGGTGATTTCTGAGTATACGCCTCGATCTCATCTGTTCCACCTCATATCTCTACTTTCTCTCTCTAAATTGCAAATTTATGCTTGGTCAATGATAGCCATAGGCACTGCAATGCTATATCATTTGCTGTTAAAGATATTATCAGTAAAATAATGCTTGATCAACAGTCGCTGATCTTGGATTCTAAAAGTTCTATACTTTCTCTCTCTAGAATTTTCTCACTAAAGTAATTCTCGATCATTAACTGCAAATCTGCAGCCTCAACAACTTTATGGTTTTTCTCTCTAAGATAGTTTTCACGATATTGATGCTTGATTAAATTGCGTCTTTTCACAATATTGAAGATTGATTAAACGTCTCTATGCAGTTTTTTTGGTGTTAACATTTATATGTTTTGTTTCACTAAATGTCGTTCAATCCATTGATGCTTGGGTGACTACTGTATATCTTCAAACGCCTGAAATTATATACCTCCTCTCACTGAATATCTCAGATACGTGATCGATTTAGAAGTACTTCTTTGGCCCCTGCATCTCTAGGCTCTATTTCTCTCTTTAATTGTTTTCTCTGAAAAAGCAACTCGTAGTCAACTACTGGAAATCTTCTGCACCTCCATTCCCTGCAAATTCTCTAACTAAAAAAGTTCTGTAGGCAACAACTGCATGTCTTCATTCCTGAATTTCTATCCTAAAATTCCATACTTGCTTCCAATCATTATTCCTCTCCTCAACTTGAATAAGTGTCTAAAGCTTCTCTTTTTACTCTCTCTACATTTTCAGTAATTCGTTTTTGTTGAAAAGGTGTGAGCAGATTAAATTGAAGGAACACAAATTAGCATGTGATATTCCCAATTCTCATTACACAGATGGACAAAAATTGAAAGGTTTTATACATTATATTGACCGTTCATGTTCTTGGTGTTTACTATTGTAGTCCAACTGCTTTGACTATGAATGCCATTTAATTCTTTTTTTTCCCCTTTTGTTTCTTTAGAAATAATCACAAGTTCTCTCCCTCCTTCGCGATGGATGCGTCCCAAGCTGCTCCCTTAACGGCAAATCTTGAAGGCCAAGATGAAAGTAGTACAGACGAATATGCTTCTCAGGCAAAGTTACTCCAAGAATTCACCAATGTTTCAACCATCAATAAAGCATGGGTTTTTAGTTCTAGTGATGGTATGTCTTTTCTAACCTCCAGTCGACATCTAGTATATTTTCACTATCATGATGCTCAAACCCATTTGTTACTCATCTTAAAATCCTATTTTCCCCCTAGGCTTTTGCTGATTTGTCTTTTCATTATACAGGCTTGAAGCCATGTAGATAATATAAGCTGTGACCAAATTTTTCTAGATTTCTATTGATATATATTTATGATTTTAATTGGTAGGAGCTAGCTCGCAAGCAATGTTCTCTATGAGCCAACCTGACCTTGTAGCAAACAAAAAGAGAACTTATATTTTATCTTCTCATATTTCAAAGACAAGCAGTCATGAAATAAATTTTCATTGGTCTCCAATTCCTATTGAGCAAGTTGGTGTGTCAACAACTGTACCCTCACCATCAGGCTCGAAGTTCCTTATTGTTAGGAATGGAGAAGGTGGGTCTCCAACGAAGCTTGAAATTTGGGGCCCCTCTCAATTGCAAAAAGAAATATGTATTCCACAATCAGTTCATGGACCATTATATACAGATGGATGGTAACTGTTCATTTCTTTCTTTTGTTTTCTAAATGGGAAAATAGTAATAGATTTCTCGATTTCAATTATGATGCCTGGTATTCTTTTCGTGTGGAGCTTGGTCTACGCTTGTAATTTATGAGTAATAACGAATTTGCTAGTATGATTGTCATTCTCAGAAGCAATGTTCTCCGATTTTCTTTAAAGTACTCTTCGTTTTGAGCAGTAAACGGAAGTGCTTGGGTTCTTCGAATGATTTGGGGGAAGGATTTGGGTATATTTTTAAATTTTAGATTTAAAAATATCTCTAACTTGGCACTTTTGTGAACAATTTCAACATAAAGACATATCTTTTAAAATTATGAACATTAGGAGTTATATCTATTGAAATGCTGTATATTTTATGGTTGCTTTTATTTATATAGGGGATCCTTTTGAGAATTTTACTGATATATTCATTTAATTGGTGATTGCTTCGCTTCTCTTAGGTTTATGGCCTAAAAGAAAAGACTTTAGCCATTTCCAGGGATGAGAAGAGAATCTGATAGCATTGCTCAGTAATCCTATGCAAATATTGTACAACTCAATTTTCTCCATTACAAACAAGCTACTCTAAGAAACTTGTTTTATTTTAGGTTTGAAGGGATCTCATGGAATCCTGATGAAACACTTATTTCTTATATCGCGGAAGAGCCACAGCCATTAAAAACCATGTTTGATGGTTTGGGCAATATAAATGGAGGAAAAACTGAAAAGGACTGCGGAACATGGAAAATTCAAGGAGATTGGGAAGAGGATTGGGGCGAAACTTATTCTGGGAAAGGAAAGCCTTCACTTTATATTGTCCACATTAACAGGTCCTATTATTTCCCCTATATACTTCTTTTTGTATTTTGTTTACATGATAATTGAAGGATTGGGGCGAAACTTACTCTGGGAAAAGAAAGCCTGCACTTTATATTGTCGACATTAACAGGTCCTATTATTTCCCCTATATACTTCTTTTTGTATTTTGTTTACATTATAATTGAAAGCCAATTCTTTGGCACAAGTAGTTTGTAAAACGAGACTGCTGGTAGGCATAGCTTGTGTAGTTATGGAATTACGCACCACTATAGATACTCCTTTCTAATACACATTAGCTTTTTCCATTTTATGGTTATTGAATGTTTTCTATTGAAGAAAATACATAGTTGAATGCATTGAAGCTGTGAACTTGTATTCTCTATTTGCTTTGAATGAGTGGTTGGCTGTTGTTGATTTACAGTGGACATGTTCAAGCTGTTGAAGGAATTCCAAAGCACTTGAGTGTTGGACAAGTTGTATGGGCACCACCATCTTTGAATCAAACAAGTCAATATCTGGTTTTCGTTGGTTGGGCACCAGAATATAATTCACAACCTTCTAGAAAGCTTGGGATAAGATACTGTTATAATAGACCATGTTACTTGTATGCAGTCGAGGCTCCTGTCCTTAAACAGAAGGGCGAAGAACTACGGTTGAAATGAGTTTATCTGCTTAATTCTATTTTTTGTAGTGTTGATTAGTTTTCTTTTTCGTCTTTTCCAGTGAATTAAGATTTCTTGTAAACTGATCCTGGCTTTGCTTTGCTTTCAAACCCAGTAATGACACATCAAAGGTACACATGATAGCACAAGGGTTACGGAGTGCCTTCCTTCCTCGTTTCAGGTATGATATATGTACTACCAGGCATGTGTCCCTTTTTTTCTGATTGAATTTCTCCACATTCATTCTTCCAAATCAAATGGCTTGGGAACCAACAACCTAGGAAATTGGAATTTTCATCAATGTGACTCTGTTTACTGTCATCGATGCTTCACCTTGGAGTTCTGTTGTATTCGTAGAGATTTAGGTTCCCTTCTATAGGTATTGCATCCTTTTTATGGTTATTATTCTTGTGCCATACATTTATTTGTGCTCTAATATGAAGATTTAAGTTGGAAAGCTATAGCCAACCCCAAATAGTTGGGAGAAGGCTTGGATGATGATAATAATGGAATATTTGAATTACCAGATAAAGACATTATCCAAGCTTGTAATCAACGAACATTTTTAGGAAAACATGTTTTCAAGCTTGTATTTGCCAGGGGCTAATAGATTGTTTTATTGTTAAATTTCGTTCTGTCTGCTGTTGGTGTCACTGATTCAGTATTTCTACTTCTTATTTTGTTCTATGTTGAGGCAGATGTATATTTCTAAGCCGTTGCACATCGTTATTATGTCTTTCTATTATACATGTTCGGTCTACCTCTCTTGCATATTTATTTATGGTTTCTTGGAAATTTTCTTGTTTTATATTATTCTAAATACACTTCCATCTAAATATTCCGTATTCCATTTGTGTGGTTTATTTACAGTCCCGATGGAAAGGCCCTAGTGTTTTTATCTGCAAAGAGTTCTGTGGACACAGGAGCACATTGTGCCACCAATTCACTTCATAAATTGGCTTGGTCCTCTAATGTGGAACTACTTTCATCAGTGAAGATTGTTGATTTGGCAAGTACTTTTTAGTTGGCAAGTTGCTTTTTACGATTGGGGAGGTCCCTGAGATGACTATCTTCTGGGATACTTATATTACTTGTGGTAACATACTTCAAGAAATCCAGTTGTTGGTGAATCAATTAGGTTCCATCATTGTTTGGTGGTCTGTCCTTGTTAAGTCTCACAGCACTTGAATATTCTGGTCATTTTCCAAATAGAAAGTTTGAATTTACCAGTGCTCATGCTTATATATCTATATCTTGTCTCCATGTGCATGTTTTTTTATTTTAGTCTAATTTTGTTGGATTTGTTTACTAGGTTCCAGTCATCATGTGCCCGGAGGATGGTGGCTTCCCAGGACTTTATTATTCAACCCTACTTCATAAACCTTGGCTCTCTGATGGAAATTCCATGATTATGTCTTCTGTCTGGGGTAGCAGTGAAGTAGTACTCTCAATAAATACAACTAGGTAACCATTTCTAGCTTTATTTTTTACTAAAGAGAGCCTTTTTATTGATAATTTTTGTGCCTAAAGAGAAACCGATTAATGGGTGCTGTATCTGCTTCATGTAGTGGTGAGGTGTTGAGAATCAGCCCTAATGACTCACGTTCTTGGAATGTCCTTGCTATAGATGGGGACAATGTTCTTGCTGGTAAATTACAATCCAGATTTGTTCCATGAAACCCATATAACTAAAGAGATCCCAAAAGCATTGCTCACTTTTTGTTTATTTCTTGTAATCAAGTTTGCAGTAGTCTTGTTGACCCTCCTCAAATAAAATATGGGTATCCTCTTGACTTGAAGGAACATACAAATGGAATTGTTTCATGGGAATGGCTAGATATCTCTATGCCTTTCTTGGGCTACCTCGAGAAGGTTGACGTCTCTTTTACTTTTCTAAATGAAACAAATAATGATAAGTTTTTATACTTATTTAACAGAAGCCATATTTCTTTTTCTTGCAGATTAGATCTCTGTTGTCTTCTAAGAGCTATAGTATATTGAAGATTCCTGTTGGTAAGGTTCATGATGATCATCCTAAGATGAATTTGGTTTTTAGTTGAACACTTTTGGCATGGTACCCATACCTGATAGTTGCAGTCTAGTGGTTAAATGGGTGATTACGTGTTGGCTGTACTGTTAAATCGTTTATCTGAAGAAAAGAAAATCTGGAATGAGCTTAATGACTGAGGGGTGCCACTACAGATGGTCGAGACTTTGCCACAGTTTGGCTGATGAATTGGCAGATTTATCACCTAATGTTTAAGCCTTTTGCTCCATTTTTTAAGTGTTATTGTTGTTTCAGTTGTTCATCTTTGGTAGCCATTTGGCGTTTTCTTTTTACTTTTTTTTTAACACTTTCTATACTAAGAAAAATGACCCTTGATTTCTGCACTTGGGTTTCAGTGAGGATCATCTAGCATGTGAAATTAGCAATATGATGCATTTTAATAAATTTATATTTAGTTGTAGACTAGAGTGTGTATCAACCATCAGATTAAATTTGCAACTGCTACACATGAAGCTAAAGTAGGTTCTTAAATCTATTCACAGCATATCTCTTGAAACTGATACACCTTCACAAGGTTATATTACGTTCCTACTTTCGGTATTTTTACTAATCACAAAAATATTGTGGATTACTATAATTGTATACCTTGAAATCTATCATATTTTGGCTAAGACTGTTTATTCTTTTGAATGAGGCACTAATTTAGTTGAACTTCCTAATCCATCAGTAGATGATGCACGAGAGTCCATTCAGTTCTTTCCCTTTCATTCAAATGTGCAAGCAACCATTTTCTTATGGTTTCTTCCATTCAATAGCATTTAGTTTGTAGTTGGTTGAGATATAGACAGTTTGTTTAGATCAGGATTCAAGTAAAGCTTATGTGTGGCGGAGAGGTGAACTCTGTTGGTTGGCTTCTGGCTTTCATTTATTAATCGCTTGAAACAAACTGTAGGTGCAAAGCCACCTATTGAAGCTATATATGTGTCCTCTGATGGCCATCAATCTTTAGAATCGTGCAATGAAGTTCAAAGAAATGGTCAATGTAATCCACTGATAGTAGTGCTTCATGGAGGGCCACACTCTACTTTCTTGACAAGCTACTCAAAGAACCTAGCATTTCTCTCCTCAATGGGTTTTAATTTGCTTCTAGTAAATTACAGGTGAAATACGGGCCCTTTCCTTCTAAGTCCTGTATACTTCATCTTTTTTTCTCTAATTTTACTATATTAGTAGGGGTCACAGAGTTTTGACAATTGGTCATGCTGTAATTAGTTTGTTTGCTTGTGGTATGGATCATATGCACCATTTCATCATCTCTTTTATTCATTGTCATGTAGGTATTTATAAATATTTTTGTCCTAATTGGTTGAGGCTTCAAATGTCAAGCTGTTTAGACATCAAAACTCGTTTATCTTTGAAAATCCTTTTTGTTTGAGATTTAGAATAGTTGCTCGATAAGGAATAATTATTTCTTTTGTCCTGTACTTCTCCAATTAAGAACTGAATTAGTCATGATTGGCTTTGTTTTTGCATTTTGCTCCACTAATGTTCTATGATCCTCCATTTGTCTCTGCTTTTGGCTGCAACTTGATGGAGACCTCTTTATTCATTGAGTGAAGAAAAATTGTTACCATAAGAAAACCGATGTATACTATCTAGCTTTGATAGTCTTGTTTTAAGTAATATTGTTTCCTATAACACGGTAAGTTTTCGCAGAGGGTCATTAGGATTTGGTGAGGAGGCACTACAATCTCTTCTCGGAAAAGTTGGGCGCCAGGTAAACGTGTTTCTTCTGTAATTTAAGTGTAGATGTCTGCATTTGAACAGGTATTGAAGTTTTTCCTCTGTTAATTTTGGGCAGGATGTTGATGATGTCCTTGCAGCAATTGATCATGTCTTTAAATTGGGGCTTGCAGAATCCACTAAGATTGCGGTTCTAGGAGGCTCCCATGGCGGCTTTCTAACAACTCATTTGATTGGCCAGGTGGACACTTTCTAGATTTCTATTCTTGTGTATTTCTTACAACCTTACCTTCAAATGACTCTTTTCACACTTTCATGGTCTTCTCATGCAAATTAAAAACTGTTGCATGTTTTTGAGTTTCCATAGACTTCCAATATATTTCAAAGGAAGTAATTATTTATTTTTTGATCAATATATTTCAAGGGAAAGTAAGTTTTTATTTTTTGATCTTAAGTACTCACATTTTCAATGTCATCTGCACCACTACTAATGTGATGTGGCTTGTCTTCTTTTGTTTGTTCTTGCTGTGTTTTCTACTACAGGCTCCAGATCGTTTTTGTGTTGCAGCTGTTAGAAATCCAGTTTGTAACATCGCATTGATGATTGGTACAACAGATATTCCTGATTGGTGCTATGTTGAAACATATGGTAGTGCAGGGAACAGTTTTTTCACAGAAGCTCCTTCACTTGAACATCTTAGTGTATTCTATAATAAATCCCCTATCTCACATATTTCAAAGGTAATGTTTCCTAGCTGTGTTTACTCTTTGGATGATTTATGATTCCTTGAAAGAACGGAAGCAAACTAATACAGGTTGGCATAAAATTTCATATGCTAAAGCAGCTAAACCCATGCCCACACACACTCAGAGTAACCAACAATTTTGCTCCATGGGTGCTTAAGTTTATATCAATATTATGGACTTGACAACTGTCAAATAGCTATTTTACAATAAATCCTTTATTTTCACAAATAGAATCCACCTGAATAATTAGTCCCCTGTCCCCTCTAATCACCCAATGGTATTAGTGGAACCTCCCTAAATTGAATTTTATGCTTTGTTGAAGATGTATCTCTTCTATAACTCCCAAATCGTCGACTACTTATGTTTTCATTTATGTTGAGTATGCAGTACCAATGGTCCAAAGAATTATCTTAGAACTTTCTAAACTTATTATTAATAGGGGATTCCATGCTATAAGACCATTTGCCTTTGGTCTAATAATGGTAGGGACTTTAAACTTTCTCTAGGACCTTCCCAAGCCAGCGTAAAGGAGGTGGGTTGCATTTGGTAGATAGCCTGCTAAAATTTTGCCACATGTTATCATGAATCCTGAACTTATGTTTGGTGACTTTGGATCTTACTGAGGATATGGCCCTTAATAGATAAGAATGGAGGAATAGCATTCATGTAGCCAATCCGAAATCCCTAGGATAAGGCTTGAATGATGATGATGACAAGAATGTTACAACCATCCTTAGCTATTAGATGTAAAATATGTCGGCTTGGCATATGCCACGAAGTTTGAGATATTCTTTTTTGGTCTTTGAGCTCAAACAATGCCATGCACCCAATAGCGCAATTTTACATCTGACGGCCAACAGTAATTGTGACTTTGTGTCAATGCTAAATAGTTCTATTGTACACTTTTCCTTAATAATAATACCCCCAATCTTAGTCACACTGGAGTCATCCTAAGCACATTTATAAAAACTTGTCTTTAACACGCCTCCAAGGGACGTCTGCATATTACTTGTGATCTTGGTCTCTGACATATTAAGTGATACCCTATCCATGAATCATAAAATACTTGAAGAGTATCCCTGGCAGCACAGGAGTAAGCTTACTTTGAGTGTATTGTTGAGCTATTGTTGGTAAAAGACAACGGGATTTACATTGATGGTTGTAGATATTTTGCTTCACTTTTTTTGTGTTCCATGGTCATCTGAATTTTTGTCAAGCAAATAGGATATGAATGATTGCCTTGTTGCTTATCTTTCTGTTGTTATTCATTGACTTCATATATGCTTAGACCAATTATTTGATTGATCGATTTCGTTCATTTGCTTGAAAATTGTGTTGTCTCTTACCACATGTAAGATCTGGTGCTTTAATTTTTCTTTTTTATGCAACGATGTGTGTGGAAACATCAAGAACTAAAAGCTGTTGGATATCTTATTAATATTTAAAGGCAACTGATTCACTTCTACTTTTCTCATGTTGAATCTCAGGTGAAAGTACCAGTCCTTTTCCTTTTAGGTGCCCAAGATCTAAGAGTTCCAGTTTCCAATGGCATACAAGTAAGATATCACTATCAAATCAAGATATAGATATTGTCTTGGTTACTTGTTATTTTATGTAACTCAATAATTATAATACTAAACTTGTTTAATGAAGAAAATCCTTTGGAAGTCGAAAACTTACTGAAGATGACTCTCCATGCGTCATTTATTCATTTTCTTCTGACACAGAATAATTGGATAGTCCCTTTACCAAAACATCCACATTCATAGATATATTTACCATTATGCGATATAAGAAAAGGATTAGTGGCTAACGCACTATGATTTACCTGAATCTAGAAATTTATTTTCATTCAAGTTCTCAGGAAAAGCTGATTTTCACAGTTATGGCCATCAGCAGTAATGGACATTGCAGCAAACATTGCCAATTAATGGGAAAATATCTAGTGGCCATTAGGTCTGTTATAGTAAGGATTGTAATGATAATTAACCTTTGCCATATTATGGCTTCGACCTTTTCCATATTATGGCTTGACGCATTTCAAAACCATCATCATATGTGATCTCCGGCAGTGACAACCCTTTTGACAAATGGGCATTCTACCCATGTATTGTTCCTTTTTAATTGATGCAGACCATGATTCCATGATCCCAAAACCTCTCTTTATTAAGAAACCAAACTTGCAATATTAAATGCATGCCAAAAATCTGGTAATCTTACATCCTTCTTTGGCTTATGTGTTGTAGTATGCACGTGCATTGAAGGAGAAAGGGGTTCCTGTCAAAACCATTGTGTTCCCTAATGATGTGCATGGAATCGACAGGTTCTCTCTTCTATCTCTATTACTCAATGGTTTGTGCATTCATGTGGATGAACATAACTTCGTTTAACTATTCTTTATTTCCGAGAAGTTTCAGGGGGACACTGGAGAGTATAAAAAGCACCTAATCTTTCTTACTTTTTGCAGGCCACAGTCTGACTTCGAAAGCTTCTTGAATATTGGGTTATGGTTTAAGAAGTACTGTAAATGATTAGGAATTTCGTTTGGCTCTCGCTTAGAGTCTAAGCATTCAATTGCAGGCATGTACTGTCAAGTCACTGAGTTTCAAAAAAATTTATTGTCTTCAAGATAACTTATGAATACTTTGACAATTTGCATGTAACCAGGAAATTATAAACACAATATAAAATGTTTGACTTTAGATTTTTGAATTGGCTTGCATTTAGTACAATGAGGTCACAATTGCCTAGCTATAGGATGTGAAATTCGATAATTTGAGTGTACTACAATTTGAGAAATTTTATTTTAATTTTTTTGTCCACACTACCTGCCATTCAATTTCATATCTAATGATCAATAGTGGTTATGACTTTGTTGTGTTAGAAATAAATGGTCTCATTTTATACGTTTGATATATTGTTAAAGATAGTTGGTCCAAGCGCCTTCACCATTAGGCCTTGTAATTCTTTTTATTTTATTTTTGATGAGTCAGTGGCCATAGGGTCCCTACCTTTGGTGGGAATTGAGCCTGAGCCTAGGATGTAGTGTTACAAATCGTCAAGCGCTAACCAATTAAGCAAGCTCTTTTCCTATGCAACTCATATTTGGAACCAATGTTTTGGCCAAAAGAAATTTGATACTTGATAACAAGTGTGAATATTGCTTGAATATTTTCCTACCTAATGCAAGACATAAAATCCAGGGATAAATGACCTTACTCATATTAAATTATAAGAACGCCTTAAACTAATGGCTCTAAAAGATGGGTGTGGTTTCCAAAAGGTTGCAACCTTAAACAATCCATTTAAGGCGCACCTCCAAATTTTATCATAGCATATAATTTTGATGTAAAAATATTCTTAAGGTTATCTCAAAATCTATTTTTATATCTAATTATAAAATTTTAAACTCCAAAATTTTTTAAAATCAAGTAGATCTATAAACATGAAAATCTTGAAAATGGATGGTCTAGATAATGTGCTGTAAGTTGTATCATTTCTTAGATTCAAAATCTTTTCTTTTTTCAAAGTTGTACATCTCAACATCGAGATGATCAATTAGAGGGTTTTTCAATATTAAAACAACCTTTTCTGATGGATTTTTGAGATGTATCCGTCGTCCGTCGTTCTACATGTTAAGGTTGCAACCTTATATAAACTTTTCCTTTAAAAGATTGTGCTATACTGTGTAATTGATAAATCAAGATCTTTTAAGGACATGGTTTTTATGAGTCAATGTAGAAATGAATCACCTCTTAAAAATCTATTTTTGAAATGGATTTTTCAACCTATTTTTTTAAGTACATGTATTATTTAATATGGAGATCATGAATATGAAAAAATAATAAATTTTAAAAATTAAAAATAATAATTCAATTATTTTTAGATGGACCAACAATTTCCCATCTTTAAATTTGATGGGAAAGACTTTCGTCCATATCATGCGGGCGCTGCAAGGGTGCACAAGCAACTCTCCAATGGTTTAGAGCAATGGTTTAAAAAACGGATCGGTGATCCGGATCGGGCTTTCAAAAAACCCATCCGGATCTGTGAATTGGTGATTCGGATCGGGAATCGGGTGAATTGGTCAGAATAAAGCTT